TTACAAAAGTTATAAATTCTACAATGAGGTAAGGTTTCATGCTAAGCTTGAAATACGTATTCAAGACTGTTTAAACCAACGGCATTACTATTCGATTGATACAACATACGCAAAAAAGTATAAATTATTTTATTACGAGGCACAATACCACGTACAATATAAAAACATGTAGTGACAGAAATTCCAGGATATACAATCATTGTCAACTTACACAATATATCAATCAATAAGTATATACGCAGACTGAACATAAATAATTAATTAATGGATAAATTTTAATCTGAAATAGTATTAGAGTAGATTTGTGTTTGAATACGCGTACTCTAGAAAAATACTTTTCAATTGAGAATGAGTCGCGCGAAGTTAGTAATTTTTTTCCATTAGCGTTAGATATTTATTTCATAAACCGCATTATTAAAATAGTAGTACGGTCAGGTTTTCGCTGACATCAAAACTTTGAATAGCTAAACGCTTGTATCTTGTTTACGTAATGACTAATTTAAATTACAACGATACCCTTAGATTCAATAACATAATTTAAAGATGCCGTAGCTGCTACTGGTGACTTCATTATCGTTATCTAGAAAAACGTAGAAATAATTTTAATTGCGAATATTTAAAACGTATGGGTCTCCTAAAAATTATGTGCAGGCAATCGAATTACTTAATGTACGATAAGCATAAGCTATTCTTACCTTTTTTCTTGTGTCGTCTATTGGCTCTAAAAATAGCCTAGTGTTTACGTTATGTGCCCATGTCTCACCAAGTGCGGCTATTATATGTGGTCTATGATCTTCAAAAGCTGTAGTACTAGAATCATCTGCTTGAATATTAGACACATCTTCGTCATTAATAGAATCGTTCTTGCGCTGGTTATAACTGGTTGTGATCTGGTTTGTTATAATAATCTAAATAGATGCCGGGGTCAATTTTAACATATTATGATTGTACTATACTGTATGTGCTGCATTACTAACGAATTGATATTAAATAAAAAGTTACAATTTACCGGAATCGAGAAAGCTTCAGCAATACGTCTATATAAATTTAAAATTGTATTGAATCAATATTGCGAAAGTGATCAAACGATAATGTATCAGATAAGTATCTACTTGAGTATGATTGGTTTGGCAATTTTTCGTCATTAAACATACTTCAAGATAGCTGCTTGCTTTGAAAGAATTTGTCCTCGTTGAGTCGAACTTGTGCGATCGAACTCTTTTCGAACAGGTGATGCTATAGAATCGACGATAATTAGTTTAACATTTCGCTTGATTATGTCCTCTTCTAAACTGAGTAATCTATAATAGCACGGAAATTGATGTATATATAGTTGCGTTATAAAAAGGAATCTTCATTTCTGGAGAAGTTTATATTACGATTTTAACAAGCTGATGATGTAAGAGATGTATAAAGGGCTACAAATTTGTTGATTATAGTGCATTATCTGTAGCACACTACTGCTCTACGCTTGCCTGTTGACCAAACTGCGTGATTCAAGTTGTACTGACACACATACTCGTTGTGTTAATTTAGATAAGTGCTCCCTATTGGAAAAATATTCAGGAAATTTACACGTAGCCATTTCTACAAGCCTAAGAATAAATAAATTAAATTAAAAATAGATTAGTACCTAAGATTAGGATAGAGATAAATTGTAACTTTGATATTTGTATGACCTCTCAGCTGTAAATGAAGCTTCAGTATCGACGTAAATAGTGCTACCATCGAGACCTAACATTTCATTTGGTAAAGTTGCTAATATGCTGAGCATGATACAGAATTGAGTTTTACCAGATCCAGGCGGTCCTACCAGCTTCGATTGTGATATATAGAAAAAATTTCTTTTCAATACATTGTTTAGTTGTAGGTAATGATCAGTTGCAAAGCATGTATTCCTTAATAATATCGTTTATAAATGCTTTATTTTCATTCATAAGATAAACTCGTATTCGTAGTTGCTGGTATGATCCTTGCACATGATGGGTAAGGCCTTTATTAAATGCTATACACGTTCATACTGATTGAGCACCTTGAATGAGGTTTCTATCATCTGTAGTAACATAGAGTAACTGAATCTAGCAATGATATTCACTCTGAATGTCTCATACAACTGATTTATGTCTTAAAACAAGGGCGAATTTACTAGTGGTTGGATTGGGCGTTAATCGTGTTGAAGATAAGATAGCATACGTATTATGCTGGGTATACTGACCTCTGTCAAATTTGATAAGCGTAAGCCACCGCGTAGGGCACAATCTAACGGACTTAATGAAGTAGAGAGGTATGCTGGATACTTTGATGCTATCGGATTGAATAAACTGGCAGCCTATAGCGATGAGATAAGAGAAGATGAATTGTCAAACTTTTTTACTATCATTCATGCATTGGCTATGAATGCAACAACTTCTCTAAACCTACAGTTTGAGTATTCGGTGATACACTTCTACTTGCAGATTGAATAACATCTTTGGAATGCTGATAACTGAGTCCAGTCATGTTCATTAATTCGACATTTGACAATGCTAGAATATCCTAGGATAGAAGATCGTTGGCCAATGTTAGTCTTCACAATATCCTAGTATTTGCATATACAAATTTTCTGATTCAAGATAACGGTTAATTGAATTGTATGAGTTATTTAAACTTGTGAACGGATCTCTAAACGTAGCCTATCAGTGCCTTTACCTAAATCATGAATAGAAATTTGAGAAAACAAACTACTTCTATTGACGAGTGAACTAATCAATTTGTAATCCTACGTATACCGTAAAAGTAAATGGGTTCCGACCTACTGTGCACTCTATGCTATGCTTTATATCCATGGTACTTCCATTGAGTATGGATTACTATATAGCTCTAATCCATGGCACATCAACAATACATCACCCGTTGAATACGTATAACAAGAATACTACTCAAAGTGTCATTGATCCATCAAGATAAACTCCATTTTCATATTAACAATTTCTCTGCTTTACAGCCTTTCCACTAGTATCTTGGGGGTATGCATACCGACCGTGTGAAAAGTTGGCAACAACTGTCCTTGATCATCTCTATCAATAGTTAACCTTACATGCTATACCTTGCAAGTGGTGATCTTGTGCTGCAATAGAACGTCAACTAATGGGGGTATGCATACCGACCGTGTAAAAAGTTGGCAACAACTGTCCTTGATCATCTGTATCAATAGTTAACCTTACATGCTATACCTTGCAAGTGGTGATCTTGTGCTGCAATAGAACGTCAACTAATGGGGGTATGCATACCGACCGTGTAAAAAGTTGGCAATAACTGTCCTTGATCATCTATATCAATAGTTAACCTTACATGCTATACCTTGCAAGTGGTGATCTTGTGCTGCAATAGAACGTCAACTAATGGGGGTATGCATACCGACCGTGTAAAAAGTTGGCAACAACTGTCCTTGATCATCTATATCAATAGTTAACCTTACATGCTATACCTTACAAGTAGTGATCTTGTGCTGCAATAGTACGTCAACTAATTCATGCGATAATCCGATTGCTTTAATCTTCCGATAGGACATGATGACGAACGAGGTAAACAGTAGAGTATCGTCTAAGTTAACGTACGCATCAACACCACACTGTTACCACATGAACTTCTCGTCTACCCTAGCATCCACCATCAAAGCATGAAAAGAGTTTTATACGATGGCTTCCTTTATCCCAATGACTAGATTGATCGATGATCCATAAAGACAACATCTGATTTACAAGCTAGTCTGCAATTGCTCAGCTCGAGCTCGCCAGTACTGCATCGTAAATTGCACGCTATAACGGTGTTTACTAGCCTGTGCTATTCTGTACCATACTGTTACTGTAACATCTGCAAAGCGAGCCTCGGTTGCGTATTCCAATTGACACAGTACGCGCTTACCCAGTACTGTACTGTACTACGAGTCCAGCTGTCCGTATCCAGGTCGAGAATGCAGTCCGGTACAAGTCCAGCTGTCCACTGTCCAGATCAAGTCCAGGTCGTTGAAATACTGTAAGTCCAGCTGTCCACTGTCCAGGTCAAGCCCAGGTCAGTGATATACTATAAGTCCAGCTGTCCAGGTAAACACCACCAAACGTTCCAACTCCAGGGACAGCTACAGTTTCTGGCCATATTTGAATCTTGCGACGAATCTTGCTTACCCGATTCGAGTTCAGAACGCTGTGGATATTGTTATACTCCTTAGCTACAAGATCATTGATTGCTAAGCTAACATGATGATGCAATCGTGTCGGCGTTTGGTGACCGATCTATCGCACAAGAGTCGATTACTAACGGCCGGTGTCCTTGCTGGCCGAAACAAGCGATTCTGCACCTCGAAACCGTTGACTGATCTGTCTGAAGATGAACAAATGTTGCAAGATGCTGGTAAGTCGGCCTTTCCAAGCATTCATTGGCTCCTCTTGAACCTTTATTGCAAGGCTAACTGCAGTAGCTGATCTGATCCAATTCTATTCTGATCTTATGGTTGTAGATTGCTATGAGTTGAAGAATAGAAGGCGTCAATGCATAGAGTATTGTACACCATGATTTTGTAGACGTGTCATATACGCGTATATCAGGGATCCATTACAAAACTGCTTGTATTAATTCAACAATATATTTCTCAAACATTTTGCATCCGAAAGTTACAAAGTAGTCCGACTGCCATAGATTCCGACCTTACTAATCCATGATAGATAATGTTATAGATCAATATCACTCAATTTTGTCAAGATAATTTACTTAACGGATTAACCTCCATTTTGTTTGTATACCCGTAAACGACTGCAATCATCCTGTAGAAGTAGACCAACGCTGTTATAACATCAACTAGTTTACATTGTGTCAGCATCGTAAGCAATAACAGTTACAATGCCATCAAACGATGGAAACTGGATTAAAGTGAGATATCAATTACTGCTATAGCTAGCAAAAACCTTCATACTTACTGTGTATTGACCGTCAGCTATTGATGGATGATATATCAATGACCGAATATGTATTCTTTCCATTCTAATACAGTTCGCAAATTTCGAAAAGAACAACTTGAACCAAGAACAAGAGAATTTGAAGAGGCTAGAGATTTTCCACCAGACATTGTCAAACAATTATTCGATCAAGGGGTTAGCTGATTGACTTAATTTTCATCAAAGGCATAAAATGGTCCAATATCAGATTTCATATCAATCGCAAACACCTCGAAAAATAAAAAATTCTAATTTTATTGACAGTATTTTTTGCATCGGTAAAGTCACCCCACTGTTGTTTTACCTTTTTAGTGGCTAGGGATTCGAGTTCCTACCCAGTATGACGGTCCAGGAGCGGATTTTTTTTCTGCTGTCGTGGTCATCGAGGAGATTTCCAAAACGGACCCCGCTCTGGGTGCTGCGGTTGATCTACAGAATACATTAATTGCTGGCGTCGTACTTGATTATGGTAGTGAAGAACAAAAAAAGAAGTATCTGTCCAAATTCGCAAATTCTATGGTTAGTTCCAATCACTTGATACAGACATTCAGAACTGATTTACAGTGTCGTACAAATTTCTGTCGCTACTATTTTGATACTTTTAAATGTCACATCCCAAGTTTTCAACAAATGAACGTTCAAAACAATGACAGCTGTTTGATTCAACTTGATTTTTCGTTACAACTTATTGAGTAGAACTACTCTTCTTAATCAACATATGGATATACGTATACTGTATACAATCGCTACATCAGCGTAATAGCATGTTTGCCAACCATGGACAACAAGAGTAATTGCTTAAACAGATACACGACAATGGCACTTCAATAATCCCGTGTGTACATTATTTGTGTTTTACTATGGACTACTAGAAAAGACCTTTTCATGTTGTCTATGATTGTACTGTACATCGAATATGTCTGGTAATAAAATACAAGATGCACGTAGCTATATACTCGTACTACTTCTAATACGATATAATACACAAAATGGTTACTGTGATTTGATATACGAGTTAGACCGTATTACTTCATATTTTGATTTTATTATAATGGTGACTTAATTATGGTAAAGCTAAGTCTTTTCATTTTTATTAGCTCATTTCGCAATATCAATGTCAGTAATGTCATACGATAAAATCTGAATACGAATGCGTTACTTTTCAGTTTGGTAGCTTTTGCCTATCTGAAGAAGGATCTGGTAGTGACGCTTTTGCAATGAAAACCACAGCTTTGCGTAGTGGAGATCACTATATTATCAATGGAAATAAACTGTGGATCACCAGTGCTCATATGGCGGGCGCATTCTTAGTTATGGCTAACGCTGCACCGGAAGAGGTAAATTTTATTGTATGAGTATACTGTATTCCTAAGGTTATTACTTAACACTTTGCATGGCAATTCTTACTAGGGCTATAAAGGGATCACTTGCTTCATTGTCGATGCAGATACTCCTGGTGTTAGTGTTCCTAGAAGAGAAGAGAAGGTATATAAGACCATGACATACAGCTGAATACAAGTATTTATTTTATTCCATTTTATTTATTTAGTGATATAGATCTAAACAGTATAGAGTTTATTATAAGCCGTAACTTTAAAAAATTATCAAAATTTCAATACTTTAAACTTGAATTTTTTGTTGATTTTTTAAGCTTGGTCAACACGCCGTTTCAAATTGTCCCGTAACATTCGAAAACGTTAAGGTAGGATAGCAAGTAAAATGATATATCTAAGAGTATAAAAATAATGACATTATTTCTTTTCGAGATTTATTGTTTACATATAGTGCTATCTGTATAGAAATTAAATGCTTAAATATACTAAAGTAATTATGTTTCTTGAATGTAAATAGGTTCCTGCTAGCAATATCGTGGGAGAGATCGGTTCAGGATATAAGATAATTGCATCCACCTTAAATGAAGGAAGAATTGGAGTTGCAGCTCAAGTAAATATTCTTAAATTATGCAAAGTATTTATTTTGATCTTGATCCTTAGTAACGATTACTATCACACACAGAGGAAAGTAAATTAATATCTTGTAATCGTCAAAGTGTTCGTAGTATCATCTAGCAAGCTCAATAAACGGCATCTTATTGTCAATATGTCTTATTTAGATGGTGGGTGCTGCTCAAGGCATTCTTGATCATGTAATTCCATACACAATGGAAAGAAAACAATTTGGCAAACGGCTATTTGATTTCCAGGTACCACATAGTACACTTTTACCAATGCGATGCCTTCATATTATTTTATTATAGATAGCTTCGGTATAATTTCAATTGCATAACTATATTCTATGGTATACTCTTATTGTCGCTGTAGCTGATATGATTTATTGTACTAAACAGGCAATGCAGCATCAGATAGCCGAAGCAACTGTCCAAGTAGAAGCTGCTCGTTTGCTAGCTTATAACGCAGCTAGATTACACGAGTGTAATATGCCTTACGTAAAAGAAGCTGCTATGGCTAAATATTATTCTACTGAGGTTAGTCGAAATAGTATCCGTTTGTAAAAGACAAACAAATTACCAAAGTATTTCAATATTTTTTGCTCGTCTAATGCTAGTAAATGGCAATTTTCAGATGGCTTGTCAGATAGGTCTAAAAGGTATTAAATGGATGGGTGCATTGGGATATATGAAAGACTTTCCTATCGAGAAATTCTTAAGAGATATCATCCCAGGTTGATTCATTATAACTAGTTTACCGTTACGATAGTATAGAAATATTTATTTAAGCCCCTATTCGATTAGAAGCGAGTAGGTAACACCACTATTTGTTCCTTTTATCATAAATAAATATACAATTTTTATTCGTTTGAAATCACCTAGGAACAATCTACGAAGGTGCCAGTAATGTAATGTTAAATACTATTGCGGGTCGCGTTGCAAAAGAATATCAGTAATTATGCTACTGGATGTATGACGAATATTGGTATATTAACTTAGCGAAAATGACGCTTCCTTGGTCAAGACATCAACTATAAAAGATGTAATAGTTACCGGGTTCATATTGCGATAGTGTTGCCACCATTATTCATCATAACGTGCGACTATGCAGTTGCAAAAGAATATCAGTAATTATGCTACTGGATGTATGACGAATATTGGTATATTAACTTAGCGAAAATGACGCTTCCTTGGTCAAGACATCAACTATAACAGATGTAATAGCTACCGGATTCATATTGCGATAGTGTTGCCACCATTATTCATCATAACGTGCGATTATGCAGTTATTGTTTGCAACTAAGTAGTGTACACTGTGGAATTGTGCCTGGGCATAAAATCTTATTGAGTATTGTATTCTTGTTAAGCATTGTCGTATTATTATGATATAACTATCGTGTATGCTTCGATGAAAGTACCTATACGTTGAAATAGAGTCTCATGGTTTTAACTAGGTAATTAACAAACTAATTTTGCTTTAATAGTTTACGATTTTCACATTTCTATTTTTCCCATACTATCCGACTCACACACATAGCTGCGCATTATGATTAATAAATTGTGTTATATATTCCCGCCATATATCTAACTGACTCAAATTTAAAGTTTCACTGTTCCTATTAACTGTACGTTCGATAGCAAGATGGCAGGTATAGAGTTCGAAATACATAAAGCGTAATCAGCGTAATCTCCATTAACACATAAAGATTTCCTAGTAACACAACTATTTAATATTGCTATATAGAATTGAAAACGCTCCATGCTATTAAATTGATCAAAGTTATTATGTTTGTGAGAATTACATAAAAATTTCCGTAATAAACATCTCTCGATGTAATACGGTAAATATGGAATGTGTAGCCGTAAATACACTATATTCTCATATACAAAAGATGTTTTACTTTCAATGAAAGAAATAAGATACGTTTGCATAGCACACTCTAGTACATTATGGCAGATTAATGATTGACGAGTTTTAATGCAGTTACATAGGATAAATCTCTAGTAACTCCCCAAACTTGTAATTTATACTGTACTATACTGTACTGTAAGCAGGGTATTAATATACATATCACAAGTATCTTAAACTCTAAAGTAGTGAGTGGATCAGAATTTTTAGATGCTTGATGGAGGCTTTAACATCAGGTACTACCAGATATTTATCAAGGTCACTAGACAAAAAAATACCTACATCAATGATATCTACGATACTGTGTAGCTTTATTCTTCATGTTGAGCCATTATTAAACAAGTAATACTTGTATAGTATGTATCACCCGCGTGTCCGTGTGTCTGTATACTTTTCAATGAAAACCATATCTGTGCTCAGTATCTGTCATGGTCTGCTTTTAGTAGTCCATGCGACCATGCCTATCCAAGTATCCATGCCTTCGTGAGCTATAATAATAATCTATATCCATACTTTATCCCGTACGCATATTTAAAAACTTTCAACGCGGCTGCATGCATACAGTTTCGGCCATGCCGCATTGCTATTCCATGTTATATATATAAATATAATAATAATTATATAATAAATACTGTACAGTATATTAAAGATTAATCATAAATTCGCTCAGTTATGTTCAACATATAAGTAAAGTTTATACACTTTTACGTAAGTCGAATATACCAACGGCACTGTACTGTATTATACGGCATAGTTCCACATTTTCACTGCATGTTATAAATACAATACTTATAAATACGCTATACCAAATATTATTATAAATTCACTCAGTTATGTTTGTACGCTTATGAAAATCGAATGTCCATACTATATTACATTATACAGTACACGGTACAGTTTACTATAATTTAATTTGCCATATTGTCCTGTATATTGCGCCTCAAATCACGAACAGTGTTCGTGAGTCTCCACCACTAATTCCATTAAAATTGTTACTATACCGTAGATACAGATCTATAGAGGGATATATAACACTACCTATTGGCAAGTATACTGTAATTAGGCGTGAGATCAGTTTATGTTTGAATAAAATCAAAAATTGAGTGATTTATTACAATTACAACCATACTCTTTCGAAAAAATGAAGAAAAATTTATCATTGGATCAAATATTGTATATTTCAATTTAAAACATGGATAATAAGGTGTGCAGGCTTTTCATTACTAGCCCAATAATAATAATGATTACTAAATGTCTTAGAGATCATAAAACTGTTAAATAGTAGTATAAATAGGATATAAGAGCAAATTAATAAAAGTCCCTAAAAGTCTGAGTAACTTGATATTGCTACCATTCTAAATTGAATTAGGTGTTACATTACGTAAGCTGTTATATACCAAAGAGAGCACGCTTAAGCAGTAAGATTTACTAATTGCAATTATATACTGTAGCCAGCGAGTGCGATACATACTATGTACCTTCATCATCTTACATTTAGTTGATTTACTCTTTAAACCTATAGCTACAATTTTAAGATTAAATACCAATTGAACCTATGGTTTCTATATAATGACATAAATGTTTAATTCGAATCGATATAAATAGTAAGACTGCAGACAGTAACCATCTTACAAACTGTTCATATGCTTGCAAATACTGTTTATACACCATAATATACGTACATAATATATGAATATAGTAGTACAATCCCTATTGTAGGGACTGTTAATATAGCTAACTTGTTTTAAATCGTAAATATATTAAATTAAGCCTTAAATATTAAATTATCCAATTTTAACAAACCTTAGTATCATGCAAATGTTATAATCGAGTTATAAGTATTTATGATTTTTTTAAATGTATTACTCATATGAAACGATAAAAGTCCCTACTGCGTCTAAGTTCTATACTAATATAAGATTATAGTTTACTTTAGATTATTTGTATGTAATAAATATTATTAATCATACGTCATGCGTGACGATAATCACAGTTCTCCTTCGTATCCCATAATCATAGCGACTTGTGACAAAGTTCATAGTAAGTTCGCAAATGAGGCTAGTATCTTTAAAAAATGTAAAATTTCGATGCAATTTCAGTATATCATGGCATTATGTTTAAAATCTCTCCTATTTTGTAATATAATGTATATTAGAACGTTGTTAATTAATAATGAAATAGAAAATTGACTCTTTTGGGTCTTGTTTGGATACCTGTATAACGTTCATTTAATTTCAGTGATTACCATATGCAATTTATGCAGTAACTAGCCTATTTTTAGTAATTAAATAGATTACAAGGAACCCTAATAATTTACAAACACTAGTTCTATCATGCTCAACCTCTGCAATAGAAATTCATCATAGAACTATTTAGAGATACCAAACGCCATCGTTATATTTGGAATAATATTTTATTGTTGAACTACGTATTATTTCTATAATTTAAGGAACTTTATCCATTCTTATTACAATATTAGCAACATATTTTCAATTATATCTTTTATTGGCAGTGGATAAAATTAGCCTTAACGATTGAGACTATTAAAATTTGTTCGTGACCTTTGCAACAGTGTTAATGATAACTTATTCAACATTAATGCCCTTCATATTGTTTGATACTGTTAGATTGTTTATCTGATTAGCAAAAGAATTTCGTAAGGAATACGCCCTAATAACTACATAAAAATGATATTAATATTAGTATAATGAGTCCAATGCTCTATAATACGGTATATAATAAGATAAGTCACTATTCTTTGCCGCCATAAATTATCACCTTTGATTAGATAAAGTAATACTAACTTTATTATGATCGAAATAATATAATACAGTATTACAGAATAAAATCAAGATAGTTTATAGCTACTCTATTTGCAATGTTATATTGCTCTATCTTATTACTCTGACTATTTATACTTCTTTTAAAAGCGTAAACAAGATTTATTGTCGGGATTTAACCGAAAATAACTATATTCAGAGTAAGTTCGATTCTTTTCTTCCAGAAATATTAACGTACCAAATTGCGATTTTATCCTCACTTTTATTTTATATACAGAATGGAGTATGTATCTTTATGTTTGCTTTCTTTATTGGTTTTATGTTCTTAAGAAATGTTTTCAAAATGATCAGTGATAATATTAGTGTGCATTTTAAGGTTAGATTACAATATACGAATTTAGCAATTAATTTTATACATAACTATTGCTAGCAATCACATTATATATTAATTGTTTTGTCCTTAACTGTTGCATTTGATTTATAGCTAATTGTTAAAATTTATTATGACTATACGCTGTATATTATACAGTATTGATTCCAATTAATAATAGTACATATTATTATTATTAATCTGACTTGCACGATGCATTTCGGATGTTACTCATTGTATTTTAAAAAAAGGAATTGATAACATCGGATTGAGGTAAAAAAATTAGTAAAATCTACATATATAGCGCTACCCGTGGGCTATATTGGATAATCAATAATAAATAGCTACACAACTCTGAGATTGAAGTACTATTCCATTGTGATCATTGATCGCTTTAATGATGATAGAATTATCTATTATCCATTTAGTGTTATATTATTGTATTCTCTCACCTTTGTAACGGAATGTACGTTTTACAACAAAACTTAATAATAATGTCGATATAATAATCAGTATATGCTAGTAAAATGAGATAGATATGATATAGTGCAAAGTAATCTAATATAGTAGTAATACAACAAGCTATCCTTCTTTTAGTCCGATACAAAATACTGTTCGCATGTTCACCTAGTATTGTAGATTATGCAAGTCATGGGTGTTGCAGTACTTCATTATTAAGCTGCCAATCTATTTTATTATCTATCACATTCTTGATTGAACAATACTTACTGTTACGATGTTACTATGACTATAATGTAACTTAGATAAGATAATAACAGGAGGTAGCATTAGCATATCTATTGTTATGGTTCCTTCTTGACGATAATATAACATTCTAGCATTGATAACAATTGATTAATTTGTGATGATCCGCTACTTGATTAGCCTATAGTTTCG